GGAACCGACGGTATTGAAACTGTAAGAACTGGGACAGTCGTGGAAGTAGCGGTATTTAAGCTGTAAGAACAGACAGGTAAGGAATTGGCGGTTTAAATTGTAATGACGGGGACAGGGGGAGAAAATGATGGCGCTTCTGCTGCAGAGATAAAGGAGAGAGGGAGACTGGTGATGTTACGCTATAGATACAGAGGTTGGATAAGGAAATGCTGGTGTCTGGTTTGTAGGAATGGGGGAAGAGGGATAAAGATGAAGGTCATGACCAAGTGACCTAGTACTGCCTCACGAGATGTAAGAATATAAGAATGGAGGAACACTGCAGAAGGCCTACTGGCCCATGCAAGGCAGGTCCTTCTCAAAACCACCCATTTATAAAGTTACCCAAGAATTTACTCCCGTACCCTCGGCACCAATCAGTCCCAGCCCTTCCCACTCATATATCTGTCCAGTCTCTTCTTAAACCTACCCGGAGTCCTGGTCTCAATGTTTTTCATGGTCTGCAAGATGGAAATACACACACACACACACACGCACACCACACACACACACACACCACACACACACCAAACAACCACACACACCACACACACCACACACACCACACACACCACACCACAAACCACACACCACACACACCACCACACACACACACACACACACACCCCCACACACACACCACAAAAACCCCACCACACACACACACACCACACACACACCACACAAAACCACCACACACACACCCCCACACAACACACCCCCCACACACCACACACAAAGCACACCACCACCCCACACCACACCAACACACCACCCACACACACCCCAAACACACAACCCCCACACACAAAACCACAAAAACACACCCAAACCACACCCCCCCCACACACACACCACACACACCCCAAACAACCACCACACACACACCACACACACCACACCACCCCACCACAAACCCCCCAACACCACCCCACACACCACCACACACACCACAACACACCACAACACCCACAAACACACCACAACCACCAACACACACACCACACACACACCACAACACACCACACCACCCACACACAACACCACACCCCCCACACCACAAACCAACACACCCCCCACAAAAATACACCCAAAACACCAAATACACCCCACACCAAAATACACACACCCCAACACACACACCAACCCACCCAAACACACACACCACAACCCCCACATCACAACACCCCAACACACACCCCAAACCACACACAACACCCCCCAACACACAACCTACACACACACCGCACAACACACAAACCACCAACACACACCACCCACCACCACACAAAACCCACAACACCCCCACACACCACTCACAACACACCACACACACACCCACACACACACACCACACACACCACACACCCCACACACACCACCAAAACCCACACACACACACCCACCCACCCCACCCACACACAACACACCACCCCACACACACACACACACACACACCACACACCCCCCACACACCACCCCCACACCCCCCACAACACCCCACACACACCCACACAACCACACCACACAAACCCACCCCCCCACACCACACCCACACCCCACACACACCACACACCACACACCCACCACAACACCCCACACACACACACACCACACACACCACACACACAACCACACCCCACACAACCACCCCACACCCCACCACCCCCAAACACACCACAACACACCACCCCACCCCACACACCACCCAAACACACACCCCCACACCCCAAACCACACACACACCACACACCCCACACCACACACCACACACACCCACACCACCCCACACACCACACAAAAGACACAGACACACCCACTCCACACAACCACACACACACACCACACACACACACCACACACACACCCACAACACACCACACCCCACACCCACACACACCCACACCCCACAACACCACACCCCCCACACACACACCCCCAAAACAACCCACACACACACCCCACACACACACCAACACCCACCACACACACCCCACACACACCAACACACACACACACCAAACACCACCACACACAACCCACACACCACACACACAACAACAACCAAAACACACCCAAAACCACAAAACCCCCCACAAACACCACACACACACACCACACACACACACCACACAACACACACACACACACACACACCACAACACACACACCACACACACACCCCACACACCCACCACAGAAAAACCCCACACACACACCACACACACACCAACACACCACACCCACACACACACCACACACAACACCAAACACACCCACACGACCACCACACCACACACACCACACACACACAACCAACACACACACACCACAACCCCACACTCACACAACCCACACACCACAACACACACACCACATACACACCACACACACACCACATACACACCACACACACACACCACACACACACCACACACACACACACACGCCACACACACCACACACACACCACACACACCACATACCACACACACACACCACACACACACATCACACACGCATCACACACACCACACACACGCCACACACACACACACACCACACACACCACACACACGCCACACACACACACACACCACACAACCACACACACACACACCACAGACACACCACACACACACAAACACCACACACACACCACACACACCACACCACAGAAACACACACACCACACACACACAC